AACTCAGAAGCAGATCTCAGGCCCCAAGAAGACCTTGGTAACAAGTCTGTTGCTGGTATTATTTCAAGATGCCTTTACCCAGGGCAGAAGGAGGAGCTTGCTTGAGGTAACTTCTAATCAGGACAGCATTTCACCTGTGAGGAATAGTGTTATCAGTGGGGAAAAGCAGGGGTGGAAATTCCCGATAATGATTCATGCCCAGGAAGCTGTAAGGTCAGAACTAATGCAGGTAAGAATGTGAAGGAAAGCCTCCTCCCTCTTCCTTATCTTCTCTCCTTTGATCACAGGGCTTAACTCCTTCAGTCTCCTCTTTCTTATTCTTCACCTCAACATTTTCTTTTGGAAAAGTTTTATACACACTGTAAAATTTATAGACTTGTACAACAAATATCTACACAGAGAAATGCTTTTTTGAGTGTTATGATTCAGCGAGTGTATTAATTCATATATGTGTTTATCTCAAATCCTGTAGATCATTAAACATTAGTGTTAACCACAGAAGTTTACCTAGAGGCCTTTCTTAGGTAATTGTAATCTGCAACACCATCACAAGAGGTGATTTTTTAAAAATCATTTATTATTTTTGTCTTTGATGGGCTTTTGTATAAATAGGCTTATCAAACTGAACATTCTTTTATTCTGTATTTTGCTTTTGAGATTCGTCTATGTTCTGTTTTGTATGAAGTCAGTTCATTTTTATTGATATTACAGATAGTACTTTCTGGTATGCTCCAGTTCCACCCTGTGCTTATTATCCATTTTTCTGATGATAGTCTCTTAAGATATTTTCAGCTTTTGCTTATTGTGATTAATGCTTAAATTATTCTTTTTCAAGATTTTTTTGAAATGTATTTTCATTTATCTTAGGTAAATACATTAGAGTGGAATTGCTAGTTCAAAGGGTAGATGTTAAATTTTAGACGACATTGGTAGAATATTTTCCAAAGAGCTGTTCCATTTAAACTCTCATCACCAATGCGAGAGTTTCAGTTGCTCCTGTACTGACATCTGATATTTTATCCAGGTTTTAGTGTATGCTTTCCTGATGACTATGATATTACGCAGATTTTCCTGTATTTATTGTTCATATGTATTTCTTTTTCTGTGAAGTGCTGTTCACATTTCACTGAATGACAGGTTTTCATGTTAATGACTTTCAGGTATGTTTCATGTGGTCAAAATTACATACTTTCTCAGATATATACAAATATTTTATCCTAGTATGTACCCAGCCTAATCATTCCTTACTGCTATCATATCATGAACAGAAATTTAAGTCTGATAAAATCAAATTTAAAAATTTCTCTTAATAGATATTTCTTTGTATTTTTTCATATTAGCATCCTATGAAAAGATCAATTTGCAAAAACCTTTTTCTAGATTTTCTTCAAAACCTTTGTTTTCTTTGGTTTTATGGTAATAATCTATCTCAAGTTGATTTCTTTTTTTAAGATTTATTTATTTACTCATACAGAACTGGGGTACAGGCCAGAGTTGCAGGGGCAGTGAGAGGATTCACCAGAGACAGAATGGGGAGCAGAACAGACAGATCAACAAAGTACACTGCTGAGGGGAGAAGCCAGCGGTCAGGAGAGGTCTGCTGTGCCATGTGGGTCACCTCGGGGGCGGGGGCGATCGAACTCATGCGAAAGTGGCTTTTGATTCTTAGTGCTGTGCTTTAACCCGCTGAGCCACCAGGGAGGGCCCTCAAGTTGATTTCTAAGTATGGTATGGTGTAGAGTTGACAATGATTATTTTCTATATGGATATTCATTGTTCAGTCTTCCTTTATTGAAAATACTTTTCTTTCAACATTGAGCTGTTTTGAAATCTTTGTTGAAATATAATCATAAAATTTGGGGCCATTTTCCAGATGTCTATTCTGGTTTACTCATTTATTTTCTGTGCTTATGAAATGAAAGGTTAACACTGCTTTAGTTACTGATGCTTTATAAAATAAGCATCAAGTCAGATAGAGTCTCTTTTCATTTTTCTTCCTTTTAAGAATTATTAGGTATCCTTTGGATACCTAATATTTCTTAAATTTTCCTTATTTACCTGAGAATCATGTAAATTTCTACCAAAAAATATCCCTATGAGATTATTATTGGTATAGGGCTTGCATCTGATTTATACATCAATTTATGTAACTGGTAATATGGGAGAATTGACTGTAGGGAGACTTCCAATCTTGAATTTCATTTATTTATTTAGTCATTCTTTAATTTTCCTGAGTGTACTTTTAGCTCTCTTATGAGAACTCCTGTATGTTTGATTTAATGTTTTTGACATCTTTTAAAATTAAAATTAAAAAATTTATGATTTATATTTCTTAATGCTAAATTTTAAATTCCCCTCACCACCAACCCCCCGCCACCCCATTGCCACTAGTATATGAAATGCAATTGCTATTTGTATGTAGACAATATATTCTGGACCTGATAGATTCCTTCTCAGATCCAGCAGTTCTCTGTAAATGATAATAATTTTATCTATTTATATTTCTTTCTGAGTCTTCTGTTCTCTACTCGGGCTTAATTCACTGACCTGGACCTTGAATATAATGAATGAATAGATGTGATCTGTATGAAGACGATTAAACTTGGTCCCAATATTGTTTGGAAAGCTTTCAGTAGCTTGCCATTTAAATGATGTTAGCCTTTAAATGACTAAAGGATTTGTTTATTCAGTGAAGAGGGTTCCATTCTGTTCCTAGGAGAGCTTTTATCATGCGAGGATGATAAATGTTGTCAAATACTTTTCTATATCTATTAATATGTTTCATAAAGCTTTTCTCTTTCATACTGTTGATGTAGAGAATAACTGATTAATATCAAATACAATTTGTATTTCTGAGATTAATTTCTCTTGGTTATCATATATTTATCATCTACAAATGTTGCTATCGATATCTTCACTTTGCTAATACTTTGCTAAGTATTTTTTACTTCTAAAGTTATCATTTGCAGATGACATAATGTACATAGAGAACCCTCAAGCTTCCATGAAAAAACTAATTGAAACAACCAGTTTAGCAAAGTGTAAGGTATAAAATCAACACACATAAGTCAGTTACCTTTCTACATACAAACAATGAGCTAGACAAAGAAGAAATTAAGAAAGTAATCCCATTTACTATTGCATCAATGTGTAAAACAAAATTCTAAAGTCATTAATTACACTAACCCAACAATTCCACTTCTAAAGATTACCCAGTGTACCTAGTGGCCCACATGGCTATATGAATATATGACTCATGCAAAGGTATTTATTACAGCACTATCGGAGTTAGTAAAAATAGAAACAGGCTCTCACTGCTCCTTCACCTTTGGCCTGCACCCCATTTCTGTATGCATAAATAAATAAAATCTTTTAAAAACTAAAAAATAAAGTCCTTAAAAAATTAACTAATAGGCCCTCCCTGGTGGCTCAGCGGGTTAAAGCACAGCATTGAGAAGCTAAAGCCACTTCTGCATGAGTTCGATTCCCGCCTGCCCCGGAGGAGACCACATGGCGTGGCAGACCTCTCCTGACCTGCCCGCTGCTCCCCTCAGCAGTGTACCTCGTCGATCTGCCTGTTCTGCTCCCCACTCTGTCTCTGGTGAAGCCTCTCGCTGCCCCTGAGCCTCTGGCCTGTACCCCAGTTCTGTATGCACAAATCAATAAATCTTAAAAAAAAAATTTAATAAAAAAAAATTAACTAATAAAACAACAACAAAAAATAGAAACAGGGTTACAATCCTAACAGCTATTGGTAAGGAGAAGAGATAACTGTGGTTCACTTCTGCAATAAAATATTGTGTCACTAATAAGAGAGTAAATGAAATGTACTGACCTAGACGTACTGTTCATTAGTCCAATTTAAAAAAAGTATTCATAGTGGTAGATACATAAAAAACAGGATTTATGGAAGTAGTAGAAACTCTTCAGGGTGCCAGAAGGTCTAGGTCTCACTTTCCCCAAATCATCAAATTCAGGTTATTTACAGGAATCCTTATCTTCTTCCATAGACACACACTGGCCTGACTAATTTAAGTCATCCACGAAGAACCATGAAATGTGGGTCCTAGCTAATATAACCTGATAGTTCACGTTAATTCTGTAATTACAGAATTTTGTGAGTACAAAATGTTATTGATGTTCCTGGCTTTAGTACTACTTAAAAAAAAAAAACTTTCAAGATTCCTGTACACTGGATTGGTCGTTCATTATTTTTTCGCCCCCCCCCCCCATAATAGCAATTATCATTTCTTAACATATAAGAAATTTCGAAAAGACCTCAAGCAACCTGGAAAAGAGGCTTGCGCATTTCCCCGGGAGCTGCACGCTTCCAGGAGCCCCTTTGCCATGCATACCCGCAGCGCTTCAGCTCTCAGACAAGTCAGAGGCCCACACCCGCGCGCGGAGGAAGCGCCAAGCGCCGGGCGGGGAGGAAATACTGACAGCTAGAGCCCTCGCCGGCGGGGCGCGGCTGGTTATCCGCACGCGGCGCTCGCAGGTAACGCAACTGCAGCGACGAAAAGGAGACAAATTTCTAGTGGTCATTCTGGGAGCTGCAGCTCTGAACTGCTCAAGGCGGTTGAGGAAACGTAGAGGAAGGCAGTGGCGGGAAAGTTACTTTTCATTGGCACGTTCAAGGGGTTTAATTAGAATATTTTAGAATTCAAACATCAGGTAAAGTCAAAAATGGGAAGTTAGTGGGGGAAAAGAAAGAAGGCGTGGAAAGGAAAGATGGGGGGAGGGGTAGAAAAGTAAGAAAAAGACGAAATATCTAACCTGTCCCTCGGAGGCTCGCGGGCTGGAGACAGCTCACGATTCCAGCCTCGCAGTAACCTGGGCGCTAGCGCCCAGCTCTTCTGGAAACTTCGCCGGTGACTCATGCCCAGGCAAGACCCGGCCATAAGCGACCTGGCAAGCACCCCCAAAGTGTCGCCCGCACTTCCAGTCCCCTCCCGCCCACCCGACGTCTTCTCAGAACAGAAACCGTAGCGAGTACTCACTGGAAGCAGGGCCCCAAACAAGATGAAGATGAGGGTTTTGGAGATCCAAAGCCAAAGCCCGGCTCCTCGCTCGGGCGTGAAGACAGGACACGCCCGGCGTGGGCCGGGGAGGCGGCCAGGTAGCGGTACCGGCTCTCCCATGGGGTTACGGTGGTCGAAACCCAGCAATCAGGAATTAGCTCTCTGTATTTCGTGGCACGCAGGAAGGCCCGCTCCAGATTACCCCGGATCCGGACGGCAGATTGTTCGGCGTCCGCTGGAGTTCCTTCTCCGTTGGGGTGTGAATCACCGGAGCCAAGGTCTCGCTTTTTATACGGAAAAGTATTGGGCAACTCAAGTGTGAAAAACCGGAGACGTGCGCCCTCTGCCGTGGTTTATTTTCAGGGACCTCCCCGATTCCGGTCCCTTTCGAGGCTGGCTGGTTCACAAACCCTTAACCATCTCCAGGTCTCCTGACTCTCTCCTTTTGCTACTCACGGTTTCTGTCCTTCACCTTTTTCAGTGACCTTGCACACGGATGCCATTGCATCCAAAGCCACTTCTCCGGCAGCCCAGTGCGAATTCCTCAGTCAGGGGGTTGATCTTTAGCATTTCAGAATCAGAGTGCCTGGCTGATTGACAGTCTCAATGAACCCGATGGGGACTCGGAGACCAAGGGGGGAAGATCTGAACCCAGGTCCCAGTAGGCATTTGCTCTTCCAGCGCTACCTTGTGTGCTCTGATAATGCCGGGCTCATCAGTTTGGTCTCAGGTGTTGATGCATGGTAACTATCGTCTCAGCTGTACTGCTAGCCCAAAGAACCCACTGCAGTCTTTCCTCTGGAATTCCCTTCTTTGTTTCCTTCTTTGAAACCGTTAGGAAACAAACACGGAAGACTTCTTGACCCATGAAAATGGATGTGCCAGTAGTAGTGAGTGCTCACAAAGGGCAGTCCCTTCCCAGCTGTTACTACGCACCCAGCAGCATTCTGTTTCCAGAATTCCAAAGACACACAAGTGGAGGTCCTCCCTATGTGGTGTTCACAGAGCTGTTTAAGGGGTGATGTGTAGGTAGAAGGGAAGGGAGCCCCAGGGAGCCTCTAGATCCATGCCCTGTCGTGTATGTTTTAGTTTTTTCATTATTCCAAATATAAGTGAGACCATCTGATGGTTACATATTTTCTTCTGGCTTATTTTGGTTAGCATAATCCCTTCTAGCTCCATCCATGTTACTTAAATGGCATAAATTTGTCTTTGAATTGAAGAATAATATTCCAGTGTGTAAATATGCCACAGCTTTTGGATCTATTTGTCTATTTGGGGGCATTTGGTTTGTTTTCATATCTTGGCTATTGTAAATAGTACTGCATTAAACAGAGGAGTGCAGGTTTCCTAATTCGTGTTTTTGTGTCCTTTGGGTAGACTCCTATGAGTGGAATTGTTGGATCACATGGTAGACCCATTTTTAGTGCTCTGAGACACAGCTTTCCATAGTGGCTGGAATGGTTTACCTTCCCACCAGCTGTGTCAGAGGGCTCTGTTATCTTCGCATCCTCTCCAGCATTTGTACAACATCATTTTGGGAAAAGATTCCTTTTCCTATTCAGTTGTCTTATTGTCTTTGTTGAAACTCAACAGGGTACATATATGACCCATTTCTGAACTCAACTCTGTTCCACTGAACTCCATTTTGTCATCCTCATATCAATACCATGTTGTTTTAATTATTGCAGCATTTTTTTTAAAGATTTATTTATTTGCGCATACAAAACTGGGGTACAGGCCAGAGGCTCAGGGGCAGCGAGAGGCTTCACCAGAGTCAAAGAGGGGAGCAGAACAGGCAGATCGACAAAGTACATTGCTGAAGGGAGCAGCTGGCGGGCCAGGAGAGGTCTGCCATGCCATGTGGTCACCTCCGGGGCAGGCGGGAATCGAACTCATGCGGAAGTGGCTTTAGCTTCTTAGTGCGGTTTAACCTGCTGTGCCACCAGGGAGGGCCTATTGCAGCATTTTAAGTCAGATAGTTTAATTCCTCTGTTTTGCCCTAAAATTATCTGTATGTCCATATAAGTTTTATGTTAAAATTTTTCCAATTAAAGAAATTCTGCTGGAATTTTCTCTTTCAGCATTAAGTGTAGAGATCAATGAAAATTGACATATTATAATACTGAGTCTTCTAATCTATATGAAATGGTTTCATTTCATATATTCCTTACTTGACCTTCACAATATTTTATAAATTTTCTGTATACACATTATATTTTATAAATTGTCCCCAAATATATTTGATATAATTATCAACGGAATTGGTTCAGATTATCTTATTTTCAAATTGTTTGTTGCTGTTGTATAAAAACACAAATGATTTTTGTGCACTGATCTTATGTCCTATAATAAGTCTATATGATTCTAGTTGCCCTGTAGATTACTTAGGATTTGCTACATAAGTAATAGTAGCTAAAAGAAGTAGGGGGAGGGGAGAGAAGGAGAAGAAAAAATAACAGGGGAAAGAATGTTTCAGATCTAATTTACAAGTAAATCTTCAGAAAAAAAAAAAAAGGCAATATAGAAAATAAGACCAGAGGAAGTGTTAGCCTCCAAAACCAACAGCTGCAGCACATAATAAATACACTCATACTTCTTGCCAGATAAAAATAAAACCTGATGTTAAAAGTCCATTTAGCACAGTCCCTTTTCCCTAATATATGCTGTCCATATACGTTTCAACAAAAAAGTTACTTGGCATACTAAAAGACAAGATAAACAGATAAACAGTTTGAAGTTTGAAGAGACAAAACTACTACCAGAATGGGAAACAGATTTGGCAGAGATGCTGGAATTTTGAAATCATGAATTTAAAACAACTATGAATAATACTTCATGATTGTAATAGAAAAGTGGACAACATGCAAGAACAGATGGGGAATATAAACAGAGAGAAAAAGCTTCAAGAAAAAGTCAAGAAGATATGTTAGAAATAAGAATCAGAGTAACCAAAGTGAAAACTTTCTTTGCTAGTTACATGGTCAGACATAGCCAAGGAAAGAATGTGAATTTGAAGAAATGTCAATAGAAATTTCTAAAGCCAAAAGAACTAAGCCTGGGTCTTTGGAAAAATCTTTGTATGATTTTTATTAAGATTTGTTAAGGTGTGTTTTATGGAATGTGGCCTATTTTGGTGAATATTCGACGAGAGCTTGGTCAGAATGTGTGGTCTGCTGTTGTGAAGTAGTCTATAGATATCAACTAGATCCAGTGGTGTTTTGACTTCATCAATGTGCTTGCTCATTTTCTGCCTGTCTTTCACCCCACGACAGGCTAATAATGGGGTAGAAAGAGGGGTAGGAGGGGTGAGATAGAAGAGACAATTACAAATATCAGAAAACAGAAGGTCCCCTAACCACTGGTCTCAGGGAAATTAACAGAATAAGAGAGGAATATTATGAACTACTCTATGCCCACAAATGTGGGAACCTGGATATAATGGACTAATTCCTTGAAAGATGCAGCCTACCAAAATTCACCCAAGGAGGAAGAAGCAACTTGAATAGGTCTATGTCTGTTAAAGAAATTGAGTCAAGAATTAATAACCTCTAATAACAGAAAATGTAAGGTCCCACGGATAGAATATGGGGAAGAAGTAAGAGACAGAAGTTCAGAGAGGGGAAGGCTTTATTGGGCTCCTGGGCAGACGAGGTCTGCAGGCTCCCCAGAGGGGGCCTGGGAGTTGCCCTCAGTGTACAGGCTAGGGGTCTTTTACATGCCCTGCTCTGTCGGGGCTGGGAAGGTAGGGAAGAGCCATGTGGTCCTTTTTCCTTTTGGTCAGCCGGTCTGTTTGTTTGGGGTCTTTGATCTTTATCAGGGGGGCTATCTGGGGTAACAGCCTGACGCCAGCTCAGCAGCTATCTCATCTTGATACCACAGAATGTTCTTCCTTTTGCCACTCTGAGAGCCTGGGTGAGGGGCTTGGTTGAGGGGCCTGGGTGACCTTTCAGAAAGCACCAGGTCCAATGAATTCACTGGTGATTTCTATTATATATTTAAGGATTTCTGTTAAATATTTAAGGAAGAATTAATAGCAATTCCCTACAATCTCTTCAAGAGGTAGAGAAGAGGGAATATTTCCTACTTCATTCAGTGAGGTCAACATTAACATCATTATCACAACCAGACATTACTAGAAAGGAAAATTATAAAACATATGTCATGAACACAAATGCAAAAATCCTCAATAAAGTAATAGCAAATGAGTGCAAAAGTTACAAAAGGAATTGTAACCACCATGACAAAGTGGAATATATTATATTTATCATGGCTGGTTCAATGTTCATTTGAAATCATTTAATATAATACAGCACATCAACAGGCAGTGAAAGAAAAATCATATGATCATATCAATAGATACAGAAAAAATATTTGATAAAAGCCAGTACCTGTTCTTGATAAAATTCTCAGCAAACTAAGAATAGCAGATAACTTCCTCAACTTGATTAAGAGCATCAATTAAAACTCTACAACCAAATCAGAATTGTGGAAAACTAGATTCTTTCCCACCATATTGTCCACTTAGGTCCACTACACTGTCCACTTATGTCCACTTATACTATACCCGCTCAACATGATATTGGAAGTATTATAATACAACAAGAAGAATGAAAAGATCAGACCATATAGACTGGGAAGGTGAAATATAATTTATTTGTTTATAGATGACAGTTGTCTTTATAGAAAAATCTTAAGAATCAGTAACAACAAAAAATGCTAGAACTGGTAAGTGATTATAAAGATCTCCAGATAAAGTGTTAATATGTAAAAATCAACTGTTTCCTTATATATCAGCAACAAATGAGTCAAATTAGAATTAAAAACACCCCACTTATATTTTCACAATAATATGCTTTGTATACATCTAAAAATGTATATAATCTATAGCGGAAAACTAAAACTAATACAAAATACAAAACATCTAAATGGAGAGATATTCTTGAACATGGATAGGAAGACTTAGTGCTGTCAAGACTATTTCTTCCCAACTGCCAGTACTTCGCAACGTGATGTAATCATTCAACACAATCCTGCTGTTGACTGAATGAAAAGCCACATATTTGATAAAGAACTAGAATCTAAAATACATAGAAGTCTCTTATAATTCAACAGTAAGAAAATAAACAACTCAACTTAAAAAAGTTAAAAAATCTAAACAGACAAGTCAACAAAGAAGCAGATAAACATCATGTAATTCGG